TGCATGTATCTTTTCACATTAGAGTTCCCTCTGGATATATGCCCAGGAGTGGGATTGCTGGATTATATGGTAAGTGTTTTTAGTTTTTTTGAGGAGTTTTCTTGATGGCTGTACCAAACTACATTCCCACCAGCAGTGTAGGAGGGTTCCCTTTTCTCCATACTCTCTCTAGCATTTGTCATTTATAGACTTTTGAATAATGGCCATTCTGACTAGTGTGAGGTGATGCCTCGTTATAGTTTTGATTTGCATTTCTCTGATAATTGATGTTGAGCATTCTTTTCATGTGCCTATTGGCCATTTGTAAGTCTTCATTGGAGATTTGCTTGTTTAGATCTTTTGGTCATTTTTGGATTGGGTTGTTTGTTTTTTTGTTTTATGAGCTGTTAATATATTCTGGAAATTAAGCCTTTGTCAGTCGCATCATTTGCAAATATTTTCTCTTATTCCACAAGTTGTTTTGTTTTGCTTATGGTTTCCTTTGCGGTGTAAAAGCTTATAAGTTTAATTAGGTCCCATTTGTTTATTTTTGCTTTTATTTCTATTGCCTGGTAGATTGCCCTAGGAGAATATTGGCTGAGATTTACATCAGAGAATGTTTTGTCTAGATATCTACATTCTTAAGTTCATAGCGGCATTATTTGTAAGAGCCAAGACATAGAAACAGTTAGACGAAAGAGTGGATAAAGATGTGTATGTATACAGTGAAATATTATTCAGCCATAAAAAAGAGCATCCTGCGATTTGTGCTCTGGGTGGACGTTGAGGGTGTTATGCAAAGTGGAATAAGTCAGACAAGGACAGATACTATATGGTCTCACTTACATGTGAAATCTGAAAACAAAGCAAAACTCATAGAAAAAGAGATCAGATTTGTGGTTACCAGAGGGTGCGTGTGTGTGTGTGTGTAGAGGGGAACTGTAGGAGGTGGTCAAAAGGCACAAACTGAGAGGATAAGTACTAGGGATGTAATGTACACGATATATAGTACACGATACATAGTACACGATGACAGTAGGTAATAGTGCTGTGTGATATGTAAAAGTTAAGTGACTACATCCTCAAAGTTCTCATTACACGAAAATTTTGTTTGCCTTTTCTTTTTATTGTATCTATATGAGATGAGGGATGCTAAGTAAACTTACTTGCAGTAATCATTTCATAGTATGTAAGTCAAACCATTCTGCTGTACACTGTAAACTTATGTAACGTTGTATGTCAGTTGTCTCAAAAGTGGGGAAAGAAGAATTAAACGCAGTTTTTAGGTCACTGATACATGAAGAGTTGATGGGCTATATGCCTTTAGTTTTAAAAAAAATTAATCATGTTGTACACCTGAAGCTATATAATAGTAAATATTAATTACCTCTAAATTAAAAAAAATTTTTAGCCATTCTGATGGGAATGTAATCTATCATTTTGTTTTTGATTTACCTTTTCCTGAAGTTAATGATGTTGACCACATTGACATATTCTTATTGGCCATTTAAATGTCTTTTATTAACTACCCACTTATATATTACCCATTTTTTAAACATTGGTTTACTTGTCTTAATATATATAGGACCTCTGGGTTTGAGTATATGGTGAATGTCTCTGATTTATGTAATCTTCCCCTTTGACTTTGTTAATGGAGACTTTGATGAAGAGAAACAATTACATATGTCACTGATGTGTAAAACTTGTAGGTGAACCTGTCTTAACTGTTACAGTTTTAAATGTAATATCTGTCAAGGTTGATTTATAATAAAATAACAATTTTTTCTTTTTTTCTTTATTTTTTTTAACATTTTTTATTGCTTTATCATCATTTTACAATGTTGTGTCAAATTCCAGTGTTCAGCACAATTTTTCAGTCGTTCATGGACATATACACACTCATTGTCACATTTTTTTCTCTGTGAGTTATAACATTTTGTGTATATTTCCCTGTGCTATACAGTGTAATCTTGTTTATCTATTCTACAATTTTGAAATCCCAGTCTATCCCTTCCCACCCTCCACCCCCCTGGTAACCACAAGTCTGTATTCTCTGTCCATGAGTCTATTTCTGTCCTGTATTTATGCTTTGTTTTTGTTTGTTTGTAAAATAACATTTTAAGCTGTGTCTCAAGCCATAGAGTCGGGTAGGCCTTGGTTTCAAAATAAGGGAAAATAGCATACATGAATTGTAACATAAACCCATATGATTGCCTTAATTACATTGTCTTGTGTATGTAAGTGTTAAGATTTGGGGAAGTGGGAATCTATGAAATCTCTGTCACTGAGCCTTCAGAATTTTATTCTGGAAAAGGTATATAGTTTTGGTATAGGACAAGAAAACTTTTTGGTAACATGTATGTATTTCTGTACTCAATTTGTCATTTCTAGAGGTAGGAAATACAAATAATGTCTTTTTTCCCTATATGCTATAGAGCAGTTTTTAAGTAAGTATATTCATCTAGTTCTTAGAATCAGGAACAAAAGGTTTAGCATAATTAAGAGTACACAGAAATAAGTTAGGTTTTGTGGAGGGGCTTAAATTGGGAGTAACAGCTGACACCCTGAGAGAACTATAGATGTGCCTTTATTGAGGAAGGTAGAAAGAGGTACATGAACCAACAAGAGAAAGAGAGAAAAGACAAAAGGAATGGGTAGAAATAGCTCCTTCACACCCGTACCTTGTAGGCGATTCAGGCCTGTGCATGCTGTAACGTCTTCTGCGCCTGTGATTGGTTAGGGGGTGCTGACTATAGGGAAGAGGAGGAACTCCAGCGCAAAAGATGCCTGGTGGTCTCTAGCCACTGAGAATCCAAAGCCTTTTTCACTTGGGGGTGAAGTAGGGAAGGACTGTCAGAGAATACAAATGTTATTTGAAGGAGAACTTTAAGGCTTGGAGAGACCAGTGTTGTGTTGTTTTTAAACCAGAAGCCCAGGCTTTAAGTTAGATTAAGCGTGGCTTCTCTGGTTGAAGGAAAAGGTGAGGGTTAGATGTAATTTCAGTTCTGAGATTTGTTCTCCCAGCTCTTCTTCCTTTGGGCCTCTTTTGAGGCGCTGCTGAGGGAAGGCAGTTTTAGGACCATTAATCCAGTTACTGGTTTTCTTTTGCATTTACAACCCCACCCCCAGCCCCTCCCTCCCTTGCAAATGTGGTTGTAGGTGTACTCTTGGAATCTGTCCATTTAAATGTTAATATTAATCACAGTTCAGTTTTCATATTTGAAAAAGTTTTGTTTGTGTAAGACATTTTTCATTGTATAGCTTGGTACAGGTAGATTGGTGGTTACTGTGAATCAAATCCATATGTGATCCCCAGTGACTTTCCACGGATTGGGAACCACTGATGTATTCTATTTTGACATCTTAACGGTTCTGGATCCAATTATAGTGTATTTGGGGGTGGGGAGGTGTTTCCCCACACCGCCAAGCAATTTATGGACATTACTTGAGTGTCCTACAATTCGGCTCCATGCTTACACTGTCCACCCGGAGATAGCATCAGATTCCACAGGTTAAGGGCTCAGTCCCACAAGATTGTCCTCTGCTTCAGATGTCAGTTCAGATGATCATCTGTGCTTCTGACCCGCTTCCTTGGGTTTGTTTAATTTGCTATAGTGATTTCACAGAACTCAGAGACATTTTTCTTACTGGCCAGTTTATTATAAAAGGATATAACCTGGAAGTAGCCAGGTGGAAGTATAGGGCAAGGATAGGGAAAGGGTGAGAAGCTTTTCTGCTCTCTCCTAGCACACCACTTTCCCCAAATCTCCATGTGTTCACCAACTCAGAAGCTCTCCTTCCGGGTTTTTAATGGGGGCTCATTACGTAGGCATGATTAATTAAATCATTGCCCATTGGCAGTTGAGCTTAATCACCAGCCTTTTTCCCCTCCCTGAAAAGGGGAGGGTGGGGGGGGTCACTGAAAGTGCCAACCCTCTTAATCACCCAGCAGCCAGCTTCTAGATGGGGGTCCAAAAGTCACCTAATTAACATAACAAAAGACGCCTTAGTTGCTTTGTTATTTAAGACTTTCCATGGGTTTTGGAGCTCTGTACCTGAAAGGAGGACAGTGACCAAATATGTATTATTGTAAATCACAGTATCACACCTCCCTTCATTGAAGAGGTGAAGAAACTTAGGCTCAGATATGTAGGGATATTTTTCCATAGTGAACAGTTCAGTCGAGGCAGAGCTAGAACTAGACCCTGGAATATTCTGACTTTTTGCCTAATGTTTCCATGTCTTTAATAGCCTGGGTATTTCTGAATTTTTGTCTTTGAAATAAACATTTTAATGAACTGCAGGTCTAACAGCAAAACTTGAATATTATCATCCAAATTTGTTATTTCCAGGTCTTTGAAGAAACTGGTTTTGATATTAAAGATTATATTTGTAAGGATGACTACATTGAACTTCGAATCAATGACCAGCTTGCTCGTTTGTACATTATTCCAGGAATTCCAAAAGATACAAAATTTAACCCAAAAACCAGAAGAGAAATTCGGGTATGTAATTCAAAAGTATTTTCAGTTTGCTGGGTATCCCAATTTAATGATGTTAGGAAATTGCTTTTGTAAATTCCTTTATAATAACTAACTAAATGAATTATTTTCTTGTCTTATAGAACATTGAGTGGTTCTCCATTGAGAAATTGCCCTGTCACAGAAATGATATGACCCCCAAATCCAAACTTGGTTTGGCACCTAACAAATTTTTTATGGCCATTCCTTTTATCAGGTATGTTCATACTTCTTGAAATATAAAACTGTGTAATTCTGATAGTTTCTTTACATAGCCAAATTTTTAAAGTGAGTTCTTAATGTTTCCATAGGCCGTTAAGGGACTGGCTTTCTAGAAGATTTGGAGATTCCTCCGATAGTGACAATGGATTTTCCTCAGCTGGTAGCACACCAGCTAAACCCACTGTGGAAAAATTGAGGTAAAGAAATATATTCGTAGGATTCTGGCTTTTTGATAGTTTTTAAGTATAGTAGTGTTTTGTTTCTAAAGTTTGCGGAGGTGTTGGCTTCATTTTTATAGATACTGTTTTGTTACTAGTCTCACAGATAATAGGTTGGGTTTTTTTTAAGGTTTTTTAAAATGAGATATAAAGGTTAATTGAAGTTGGAAGGAGCTTCAGGCGCATTTCAGGGTACTATACACAAGAGGGTACCAACTTTTTAGATGGGTAGATAGACTATGAGGAAAAGAAAAAAATCTTTGTATTTATACTGTTACTTCTCTGTTGTCATATCCTTGCTTTAGAAATAATTGAGTTTGTGAAGATGGTTGAGTGGGGGATATATTGAAGTCTGTTTTTGTGTAGGGAAGATGAGGGATGCTGATGTGTAATTGGTTCAGAAAGCACTGCGAGGACTCGAACGTGCTTCTTTTCTTTCCCTAGCATACACTGTATATTGTAAAGAGTGACTGTTACGTGGATATGAACCACAAAAAACATTCTCTTGGTTGAAATTTAATTGTATCCAAATTACAATTAGAGTGTAGGCTGAGTAAGTAAATTTTGTTAGATAAATATATATATATGTATTTGTAATCAGCTTGCTAGCACTTTGTCTTTGTTTAGGTTCAGAGAAATAGTTGCTTTTTATATTTTCTCTAGATGTTCTGTTTTTACCCTAGAGCTTCAAGAATTTAACAATGGGACTAAATACATCTACAGTCAATATTTTTTAAGTATGTAGAGAATATTCCCATTTTAGTTGGATTTTATAAAATAAAAATCAGGAGATTGGCCTAAGTGCCTTGAAAGTCATTTCTGCCTTTCAGAATCTAAGATTATAGTCACCAAGTTATATACTACTGGACATAAGTGAAGCAGTATAGAAAAAGTAGACAGGAATGTAGTCAAGATACTAAAAAAAAAAAAGAAAATCACTACTAAAAAGTTACGGGCTAGTGACAATGTTTGAAAAGAAATTGTGTCACTGTTCATGTTTGGGAGAATGTATCCACTGTAGTGTGTGAAAAGATTCCCGCATTTTTAAGTCATTCCTAGGGTTTGTGGTCCGGGAGAGTGGAGTAAGGAGGTCATAAAGCAACTTCTCTAACCAAATTGCAGGTTTCTTCGGGGAGGGTATAGTGTCTGTTTTTAGCATATAGACTAATGTCTGATGATGTGTGGGAGGAATTATCTGAATTTTGTCTAAAGAAAGAGAGCCTGCAGTTTTATTAGTTTTTAAATGGAAAGGGGAAGAATTCTGGAATATTCAGAAACAATCTTAATGTGGATCTTGGGATTAGTGCCTCTGAACTGTGTTATACATGGATGTGGTGCTATAGAATAGGGTTTATTTTTAGGAAAAACTACTTTTACGGTTGAATTGTTTTGCGTAAGAATTTGAAAGTGGATCTTTATATAAGTTGCTCTTTCATTATTTTGGGCCCATGAATTTTTTGCTGTACACTATGGCTTAATTTTTTAAATCCTCTTCGGCTGACCAGTGTAGTTTTGAGTTTACATCCTAGTAAAGAATTGAGTTGTCTGTCCTATTAAGAAGAAAGATCCAGTTATATTTGTTTCAACTAAATTTAGAAAGAATTATTTTCTTGTGATTTTTGAAAGTACAGTCACTTATAGGGAGGTGGTCTGGATAATTTAGAAAAGTTTGGGGTTAAAAATAACAGATTTTTAATTCATTCAAGAAATACGGAATGCTCGGCACTGGGGATTAAGTGATAGATAAAACTGACAAGAATCCCCTGCCTTCAGGGGAGGGAGATAGTAAATAAGAAAGTAAAATTTACAGTCTGTAAGATAAACGATCAAGGTGTTAGAAGAACTGTTAGTGAACATTTTCTCATCTGATTTTTATTTTTTAAATCTTGGTGTAGTCGAACCAAATTCCGCCACAGTCAGCAGTTATTTCCTGAAGGTTCTCCTGGTGACCAGTGGGTAAAGCACAGGCAACCACTGCAGCAAAAACCGTATAATAATCATTCTGAAATGTCTGACCTTTTAAAAGCAAAGGTGAGTAATACACATTTAAAGATTTTCACAATTTTAGATCATTTGACTGAAATGTTTGAGTTGAGGAATTGCTGATTGACAGTTACAGGCTCTGAATTGTTAATCAAAGGCTCCTGTGCTCCTGATTTGTGGTTTGAAGCAGGGCTGAGACTCTTAAAGCTTTACAGCTTTGGTATAAATCCGGTATAATAATAGTATTAACATCTGATTTTTGGTGTATATGCTACTAGTGAAAGATTCATTACTATGTTGTATTCTGACATATGATTATATCACAGTTTATCCAGTCTACTCTTAGTGGACATGTTGGTTGTTTCTACTTTGGGGCTTTTACAAATCATACTGCTATGAATACTTCTGTACATGTCTTTTGATGAACATACATAGTTCTTTTGGTGTACAAGATTGGGTAGAAGTGTTGGAACACTGGATAGGCCTGTGCTGAGTATATACTTACTACAAACAGTATTCTCAAGTAATTTATATCCCCAGCAAGATATATGAGAGTTCCAGTTGTTCCATATCCTTACTCATCCTTGGTATTACCTGTCTTTATTGTCTTAGCTCTCTATTTGAGTGTCACTGTTCCTTTTTATTTTCATTCTTTTAAAAATGTACTGGCTTTCTCAAAATTAGAAACTTGAATGCATCAGAGGTCACTGTCAAACAAATGAAAAGACAACCCATGGAATGAAAGAATTTGCAGATGACATATCCAATGAATTTAAAACTGGGTAAATGATATGAGTAGACGTTTCTTTAAAGAATATATACAAGTGGCCAATAAGCACTTGAAAAGATGCTCAACATCATTAGTAAAATGCAAACCACAATAAGATTCTTACCTATTAGTGTGGCTCTAGTTAAAAAATGGAAAATAATAAGTGTTGGCAAGAATGTGCTAAAATTGGAACCCTCTTGCATTTCTGGGGGGAATGTAAAGTGGTGCAGCTGTCTGGGAAAAATCTGATGGTTCCTCAAATGTTAAACATGGATTACCACGTGACCCAGCAATTCCACTTTGAGGTATATTGCATATATAGGTCTTTTGTGTACAGAATTGTAAGTGGGGACTGAAAGATAACTTGTATACCAGTGTTCGTAGTAGCATTATTTATAATAGCTAAAAGGTAGAAACAAACCACATGTCTGTCAGCAGATTAATGGATAAACAAAATATACTTACAATGGAATATTATTCAGCCTTAAAAAGGAATGAAATTGTGGTACATACATGCTACAACATGGATGAACCTTAGACATATGCTGAGTGAAATAAGCCACAAAATGAAGGACAAATTCTTTTTTTCCACTTACATGAGGTGCTTAGTATAGACATTTATAGAGACAGAAATTAACTTGAGGTTACCAGGGCTGAGGTACAGGAGGGAATATGGAATTATTTAATGGGTACAAAGTTTCTGTTTGGATGATGAAAAAGTTCTGGGGATGGATTCTAGTGGTGATAATACACATTGTGACTATACTTATGACCATTGAATTGTATGTTTAAAAGTGGTTGAAGTGGTACATTTTACGTATATTGAACCACAATAAAAAATAAATATAAGGGAGAATGGAATGAAATGGAATTAAAAGTTCGTGGTAACAATAGTCTCTAAAAGCCGTATTTCCCTTGCCATTCATTCTTTAAGTTAGATTATTCTTTTCAAGCTATTTTAGGAACTGCCTAATTTTTTTCTGTAGATAGATACAATATACCTAAATAAATGTGTATTTATATATTTTAAAACAATATTTCATTCAGTCTTCTTAAATAGCTGTCTTTTCAGGACCTCTAAGGCCAAATTAGTGTTTTAAAGCTTTGTGTTTTAAGTTAAACTTTGAATTTTTTTTCTAAGAATTAACTCATGTTAAAGCAGTACAACAGCAAGATGTCAACTATTGCATGTTTAGGTTTTAGGTCTGAATTTAGGAATAATGGCCCAGATTTTAAAAACACCAATCTATTTTGTATAAAAGATGATTAATTTAGAAATCCTCATTTGTTTATTACTAATTTAAAGCAGATTTCAGCGTACCCAGTGATAACATCTGCTGCCTATTTGCTGCTCTAAGAACTGTGGTCAGTGTGCCTCATCCTTCTCTGACAGAGAGGCTTTCTTCAGTCGCATAAGGTTTTCAGAGTTGTTCCTCTCCTTACTCCCATTCTTTAACTCCTCATGCTTTGTAAATAGTTTGTGAGCAGAAATGGGATAAGGCAAGAGGTGTGGAAAGATTTCTAGGGACCGTCGTATTTGTTATTTTATATCTTCAGAGAAATCTTGCTTTGTGATGCTTGTCTTCTATGAGAAAATGTATTGATAGTGGGTCTCCAGTGTTGTAAGAAGATTTTCAGGGGCTTTGCTGAACTCTTGATTCAACCAGCTAAACGTATTCATGGGGTATATTCTTTTACCTTGTTATATTATGCTGTGGGTTTATATTTCATTTCTTTTTATTGCAAAAAACAGAATCAAAGTATGAGAGGAAATGGCAGAAAACAGTATCAAGACTCACCTAATCAAAAGAAAAGAACAAATGGGGTCCACAGCCAACCGGCCAAGCAGCAGAATCCCCTGATGGTAAGAGTTACAGCTCATGCTAGAAAGACAGGTCATGCTTTTTAAGAGCAGGGCAAGGCATGCTGAATTGATAAATTGACAGGATTTTTGTGAACCTTTTGCTCTGTGTGCACTATTCACTCACTAAGAAACTCTTTGCTTACTCTCAATATAACATTGATTCAGTTGCGCATCTAATCTTTGCTTTATGTGGATATTTAATTTATTTTAATACTATGAAAACTATATAGTTAAACCTGGTTTTCTGTCTATATTTTTCTAAACCGTCTGTATTCTAATGAAGTTAAAAGTTTGGAAGAACATCAGTTTATTTTTTTTTCCTTCAAGTTGATGGAATTTAGAAGACTAAAAGTACTCACAGGCAGTGCCATAGTCATTAGACAAAGCTGAGAGACAAATACCTGTGAGCATTTTAAGGCATTTACTTCTGTTCGTTTAGTCTGTGCTCCAGAAAGTAACTCATAACTAATAGTCTCCTTGCTTATCTTTTCTGTAATTCCTGCTGTTAGTATGTTGAATTTTCTTATTGTAGCTTCACTTATTTTTCTTTAACAGTGGATGATAATAGTAATCTCAGGTTTTTAGCAAAAGTGTTTTACCTGCATTCCCTAGGTGCTGTTGAATTTGGGGTGTGCTGATTTTGCTAGTGAACACACGTTAAAGATCAGTTTACAGTTAAGATTCGTGACAGGAACAAAGAAGAGAGTCTTAATAGATGGTCAAAGGCTTTTAATATGATTCAAATCTGTCCCGAACAAAAGCTGGACAGATTAAAATAACAATATTATACAAATGTTAATTCTCTTCAAAGTAATATATAGATTTAATTCAGTACCAATCAAAATCTTTGTGTATTGTTTTTTTAGGGGGGGAACATCGCAAATGACTCATTAGTCAAGAAGAACTTGAATAGATTTTATAAAAGTTTTTAAAAGAAAGTTGATGGTGGAGGACAAGTATATGAATAGCTTTTAAGGAAGAAATAAAAGTGTCTGATAAATGTAAAAATATGTAACCAAGGAAGGTAAATTAAAATTGCACTCCACTTTTCCCTGTCAGATTGGCAAAGATGAAAAGATGGCCAGTTATGTATTGTTGAGTGCATTGGCAACACTTAAAAATTACAAATTGGTGCAGCTTTGTGGTTATGTTGAAAGCCTGAAAAAGTTCCTACCTTGTTTCCCTAGAAGAGAACTTTAAAGAATATTCACCCCTTACTCTTAATTATGAAAACATGGAAGCAATCTAAATATCCAAGAAGATAATAGTAAATGCAGTGCCACAGATGTATGCCATAGACTACCATGCAGTCATGAAAAGCAATGTCGTAGATTGGTTTATTGAAAAAGGAAAATGGTCATAGTATATTACATTTAAAAAGTAGGTTATAGAATAGTAGTATGTATTGAATAATTCTTTTTAATTGTTAAATAATTAGTGAAAATAGTCCCATGTATCTTCATAGAAAAAAGCTGGAAAGATGGACTGTATTGTTAATAGTAATTATCTCTGGGTTGAGAAGTGCAATGAATAATTTTCTTTTTTCTGATGTTCCTATATTATGTGTGTAATCAAGAACTAAAAATTGTTTTAGGCTTAAAAAAAATTTAAAAACACCAGTGGGAGAATGGGGATGGTGACTGTATTCCTGGTTTAATTTTCTTTCTAAGAAATCTGATAATGTATCTTCTCATTTATAAAGAAGTGAAGTTACTGGAGGTGGTATGTTATGTGTTTGTGTTATTTTTAATAGAAATGTGAAAAAAAACTTCATCCACGAAAACTTCAGGATACTTTTGAAACAGGCAAGTCACTTTCTTTTAAAAAAATCTCTGCCTGGTGGGGATTTGGTTTGGTCTTGAAGTAACCTTGGTTTTGGTGGTTGTGATAACTGTGATAGGTAAGCTGAAAGAGTTGAATACAGCCTGGAGAGAGCGAGCGAGCGTTCATATATGTGGTCAAGTTCTCTAAATATGAAACTGGCTAAAATGAACTTACTTAAATGATAAAGATGAAATTATTCGCACTTTCAACGTGCTGTTTCTTTTGTGAATGTCAAGCCCTGGTGCTGTGCATGAATATTGTAAAACAATTGCTTGAGGGTTAGAGGGAGAGTAGAACCAAGTATTTTAATGGTGAGGAAACTTCATTGTCACATGTACGCAAGGGGAGTGCTGATTTCAGAAGGGGAACATTTCTTCCTTCGTGGAGATACTGACCATCTTGTTAAGGTGGTACTAAGCATAGCCTTCATTAAAATGACAGTTGGGACTTCTCCATCCTCAGGAAGAGTAGGTGTGTGATCTGACTTGGAAAGTAATGCTGGGGAATGAGGAGGCTCTTTGGTCAAACTGATGTAATAGACGTTATTTGGAAGTGCAGTAGACTGATTTTTTTCTTAGATGCCTTTTCGAATTGTATGAAATTACTATGCAGCAGATAAGCATGCATTTACCAGCTGTATTTAAGGCTTTCATATGGAAAACTCTTTAAGAATTGAGAAGCATTATAATAATTTTTTCTTGTATTACTGCCTATGATTTAAGCAAGATAGAAGCTATTTTAAAAGAGGTACTTTAACCCTATTTTGGAAAATTAAGGTTAACTAAGAAGCAGTTGGAACTATTACTGAGTTATGGGGGTAGAAGTCTTCTGGCCACCTTCGGTTCTGTGGACATGATAAGCTGATAGTTTAATTAACGTAAGTTCAGAAATCAGTTATTCCACAAAATCTCTAAAAAGCCCTATGTCCAGGAACATTAAAGAAGGCACACTATAACATCCATCCAGCCTCGCTGGGTGTGATATGGATGCATAGGATTCTGAGTTGTCTTGAGAAGGAAGTATAAAAGGATTCTAGCCCTGGGAGACCTCATATCAGACTTTCTTTCTGCCTCAGCCTCTTGGTGTCTGTTCCAAACCTACTTTTCCTCATCTGGTCCCCCTTCTACTTTAAAAAATAAAATAAAATAAAAAATAAAAACTGCTAAGTTGGAGTTTTGTTGTACTGTTACTTTGAAAATTTGGATTTTTCTTTAGTTGATTTATTCCCTGAAGATCTGGTAACCTCTGGCTTTATTTTTCTAGAGTTAGAATCTTTTCAAATCTTACATTGTAATAATCTTTATAATATTATATATTGAAATCTGTCAAGAAGGTCACAATATGTTGGCATAAAATACGAATATAGGAGGTAAACAAAGATATGCCCAATTTTGAAAACAAGTGAGTAGTAAGGGTCTTAAAGGCTGAGATGAAGCTTTTGAGTGTTTGTGTGGAATAAGTCGTAATAATAAGAAATTCAGTTGAGGACCAGCTCAGGGAAAGGAAGTATCTCGGTGGTTCTGCTTAGTAGGTTAGCTTTAGAGTGTGGGGGCATAAATAGATAGATACTGCACATGAATTCCTTCATGACAAAAGGTGAAGGGCAGGATTTGATTGCTAAGTTACTGAGCTGTAATTTGTTTTTTAAACAGATGCCGTATGTGACTTACCGTGCTCCGGTGAAGACCAGTTGCTAGAACATGCCGAGGGCCAGGCTGTGGCGTGTAATGGACATTGCAAGTTCCCCTTTTCATCCAGAGCCTTTTTGAGTTTCAAGTTTGACCATAATGCTATAATGAAAATCTTGGACCTCTGATAGCAGCACATGTTGTGGAAGTCCCAAGATAAGAGACCTGTTGCATTTGAGTGGGTGTCTCTTTGAGCCTTACCTTTCTCAGGTGTTTTAAAGAAATGCAGGGAGGCAATGATGTTTCTGTAGAGATTGTCCTCTGTGTGTGCAGAAGAGAGAGTAGAAACATGAATTTGCACTGTAAATAGAACTTTTTACACAGAAGTACCTTTTCAGTGTTTGGCTAACAAATTTAAGTTGCTTTTTATGAGGGCATTTTGTTTTCTGTGTGACTGTAGTTTTTATTTTATATTTTGGTCAAGAAAATAGTATTTGAGTCATCATTAAGTAGACAAGTTAATAGGAATGCTCCATCTACCCCTTACAGTGATTGTAATGTTAGTTTCCTTATATTGACAAATTTAAAAGAAACTTAGAATACACAATTATTAAATGAATACAAGAGTTGAAATGTCACGGAAGTCAAGATTGCAGGTCATCTGCTTTGGTGGCATTTTGCACATTTCTCTGCTTCTAACCACTTGGTTCTCTCCTCCCCTGCTTGTGGCTTTCTTGGAAGGTTTTATTTTGAGGCAGCATCTGCTATATCATGTTCGTGTTCAAAATGAACTCTTAGCACTTCATTAAAGGACAAAGTCCTCAGCTTGGACAGGGACTGAGTTGGTTTGAGTGGGAGTTGCTCTAATTTTTAATTACGCTGTGTGCAGTGAACCTGTGAGGCTGCGGAGAGAGGGCAGTGGGGAGAGAACACGGGGGCTGGGACCCCGAAATGGCTTTGGTCACATCTGCACCATCCTGCCACCAGCCGCTCGGTATCATGCGATGATTTTGTTCTTGTGAAACTTTATTCTGTATTACAGTTGTGTAAATATGTATGGAATACTGACATTATTGGGTTTTACATCGCGTCTCAGTGTTGCTCTCTGGAAACGGATGTTATATTAGGTTCCAATTTGCAGTAGTAGCAGAGACTGACACACTTCCATTAGCATGCTGAAGCCCCTGGATGATGGAGCAAAAAGGGAAGGGGATGCAGTTTACCCAAGTACATTGAAGCATTTCACTAGGGGGAGGATCAGAACATGGAAGTAACATGTGTAACTGACTCCTAGGAATGTATTTTGCTCCTTCAGGATTCTGAAATCCAAATAATGATGGCAGTACCCATTTTAAGAAGGATTTTAGCTATATAATTGAGGACAATCACCAGGGCTTTCAGGGGGCTGTAGTGTTGGGGCTGCTTGTGACCTCACTGAAGGTGTTTTCTGTTGCAGGGGGAGAGTGTGTGAGCATATGCGTGCGTGTGCATCTGTCATGTGGGTTTTAAAAATCTCTTTTTAACATGTGGTATCCACACAGTATATCTCTACTTGTAAATTTTATTGTAGAAATCTTTATTCTGTATAGATAGCCTATTTAAAAGGGGTTCTATTTAACCCAGTGGGACTTTCAAAAGAAGTGCTATTGTAAGAATTCACTTGGTATTACTTTGCTTTAGCTTTTAAATGGCTTGATTTTAAAGGAGAAATTCTATTTATTAATAAAAGTGTCACCCTCTTGGTGCTAGGCAAGATAATTCAGTTATAGCAGAGTGTTTAGAATGAGGTTATTCACCATCCTATATCTTTTAATGTGACAAATTTGTGAATCCTTCTGTGACGTTTTTAAAGATTCATTATATGATTGCGTTTGGAAGCTCTTAACTGTTCTTTACAAAAGTACAGCTGCTTTGCTTGGGTCTCCTTGAGCCATATTTATAGTTGGTCCCAGCATTCCAGATTTTTGTTAAATCGTTAAGGGAGTGAAAACTTAGTTTGCCTGGCGGGTACATCATTTTCACTCGTTTACTGCCATCTGGAAACCATTTAATTTTTAGTGATTTTACATGTTTTGTTTTGTTTTCTTACTTAAAAAGAGAAAGTGAGTGCTTTGGTCAGTCTTTCTGGTGCCTCGAGTTGGATTTTTCAGCTCTCGGTACTAAAGCAAAAGAGATTAGAATCAGTTACCAGAAGTTTGGCTTCTCATGGTGTTTGGGCCTTTTCAAGATCCAACAAATTCTCTCTTTCCGATGACGGTGGTTTACCTATGGTTAAATATTATTGCTGTTGTGCTGCTTCATTTAATGCACTGTGGAACCAATAAGGGTATGAGTGGGATGGGACTTTGGTAACTTGGGGCTTTTAGCTCTCTTGACAGTTTGAGATTTAAAAAAATGTTAAAAGATATGAGTTGAAGTTTATGTTTGTGATGTGACTTAACTATGCAGAAAATGTGTAAGTTGGATGTACCTGTTGTACGGACATCTGCTGTACTTATCCCTCGAACCTGTGTGTTAGTTTCTCAGTGTTGAGGTTACCTTGAGAAAGGCCATGCTTAGCACAGAACTAGATTTCTCCATTGAGAAATTTTAGCATGGTTTGAAGAAATCAGATGATAAAGGAGTGTGCTGAATATGCAATACTTTACTTCTGTGTGCTGCAATTTAAGAAGCTAGATGAGGAAAGTAGTTGTTGGGTTCATTATGTTTCATGTCTTTGAGAAATATGCCTTTGAATCCACTTTTTAAATGTTCTTATGGTCCAACCTTATATGTTCCAAGGTTCAGTGCACTGTGAATCTTGTATTTTTTAAAATTGCCTAGGTGCTTTTGTGTATAACTGTAATGATTTATAAGGTGTTCAATGAATTGTTTTTGTGCTTAACCAATGTGATCCAGAAGGTAAGGGTATGGTTTACATGCTCTCACAAATTTTTGTTAATAACAAATGAATGGTTTTAGTATTTCAAACAGTGATGCTCTCCTGAGACATGAGCATTTGGAGGAGTCTGAGAATCTAATAGAGCTCTTTTAGCCTGGGTGGAATTTGATTGAAGATGTTTGAGAATTAAGTTGGATTTTCATGGTAACATATAAAGGTGAGGTTTCTATGCTCTAAGGGAATGGTGGTCACTGCTTGCTGCTTTGAAATTTGGATAGCCTTATTTTTCTATTAAGTATCAATTAGTAAGTACAGATAATGTAGATGTATAGCAAAATTTAGCAAAAGTAATTTTATGCTATGAGATTGGGTTGGTATTTTTAAGTCTTTAGTAATTTGTGTGTTAATATCAAACAACTCAAATCTAAGTGAAACACATCCTTTCACAAGGATTAAACTCTTATATAAAACTTAATATATTATAGTTGTCTTTTTAGAAAAGTTCAGGTCTGACTGCATATATGCATTTCAAAAATTCAAAGCATTTCATTACCTATTCCCTCACTTTTTTTGGTTAGTTTGTTTCTGACAGTTAACTTAACAGTAAGGAGCAAAGTCAGTTAAAAAACTAGACTTTTTGCCTAGCTATTTTTCTAACTATAACAATACCCCTTGGCTTTTAATCTTTATTTTTGTACCAGTGGACCTTACTCTACCCGCTGAGACTTTGTTTTGATTGACATCTATTGTGTCTTTGTATTCTGAGGCAGTATTTTCTTTGCATATTAATCATAGTTAAAAGGTCAGATTCATTTACATTTTTCTGATTGAAGAAAAATAAGTGTTACCTAGTAATTTTGACTTGGGTTATTTTCTAGCCTGGGGAAGGGGCTCATGTGTATTGTTATAACTTTAGATTAATGATAAGCAAGACAAACTCTTGTTTTGTTTAAAGGTAATAATATCCTTTATGCTTAAAAGTACCTGTCTTTAGGTAAACAGGTGTTAGTAAAATAACAATTTTGTTAAACCATAGTCCTGCTAGTTTGGTAAAGCCTACTTAGAGTTCCTTATTTTGTATTCTGTCCTTAGACTTAAGATTTTAAAATGCATTTGTATAGTTGACAGAAATTCTACAAATGAGATTATGATGGGCCTTCTCAGCATCTTTTTCTTCTTAAAATTGAGTTACTCTTGAAGCTTGTCCTCTGTCATAAAGATGGCAGATTGCAAATGGACAGTATAGCTGTCTCTTGCTTTCAAAGTAAAGTTCTAGATTGCGGTCTCAAAAACACAGGTTTGTTATTATAGAAAAGTGCCCTGAAGGGAGAAGATGGCTGTAGTTGCTGGGCAGAGCAAGCACAAGGGAGAGACTTTAGAAGATAAATCAGTTCTTGAGTGCTGTACGGTGCACGAGGCTGCAAGTTGCTCACTGCCCAGCCCCAGCAGAATCTCGCATCTGTGGCCATTACCAAGCATTTTCTGGCTCTGGGTATCATTTTTTTCCTAAGTATGGTTGCCAGGTTTTCTGACTTTAAAGATCAGTGTTTGGGAGTCAGGTCCTTCCTGTGCTCATGGTGTTTTACAGCTCCAGCCACTGAAGTACACTGCTTTCTTAATGGAGCACAGCCCAGAGCACACAGCTGCAATCAACTGTGTGTCAGTCACTTCACACGATAGCGATACATTTGTCCTCATGGTGGTCCTTTCTGTCTAGTTTCCTTGGGACACAGTAGTATTGAAATAATGCCCTGTAGCTTGGGAACAGAGTAAAGCTGCCTCCGCTGCCTAGGGGTGGACTTGAAAGGCTGGCTCCCACCAGCTTTGTTGCCCAGACCTTAACATAAGGCACAAAGAAGTGTGAACAAAAAACTAGGCAAGTTTTATCTTGAGAAACATTCATAATTGACTTTTTTCTGGGTTCCCAGATTTATGAAATCACCAATAAAGAGATTCCACTTGTCTCGGGTCTTCTGTAGTTAGCAGAGGGGATAGCGTAGCTGTGGGTAGCAGCGTGAAAGCACAATCTAAGGGGAGTTGAATTAACAAGGTGCTTGCACCAGGCCTGTAGTGTTGGTCACGTGTGCTCTGGGGAAAGGGACCGAATGCCAAAGTCAGTTGCCTGTGTTTGTAACTTTGTCTCACATGGACCTCCTCTTAGTAGCCTTTAGTCCTTCAGGCCAGTGGAAGAATGAGGCCCTAACATGTATTTGCTGCTGTTTTGGTGTTTGGGTGTTGTTTTGGTGATGGGCCTGTACCTGGTAAGTAATACTTGAAGACCTGCTGTTTCTTAATCCTTTTTCTTGGAATGACTGGTCAGGAAGAGGCCTTCGAGTCTGCCTTGTCAGCCTGTGCCCCCATGTCTTTTTCTTTCTGTAGAAGAATTTTTCTTTTTATTTGTGATACATCCCTGTGGTGAATCTGCCACAGTGGGAGTTTGCAAGCAGTGATCATATCTTGACTTTGACTTTTGAGCCACAAGCAGTTAGGAGGGTGGACACCTGTGCTATTTTAGTGTCTCATGCAGGTAGCTGTCACATTGGTTTGGGAACAAAGAAAACTTCTGTGTAAGTTTCCAAGGCAGAATGGGCAGTGTTCTGCTGGTCCTTAATCTTTGAGAGGTCTTAGTTAACATTCTTAGGTTCTGGGCTTTTTGGGGTAGGATGTAATATTTTGATTTAATCTACTACATTGAAGCTGAGCTTTTAAAACAACCTATAGCTGCAAAGTGTGGTGTGAAACATTTTGGGCACAAATCTACATTGTTAGTCATTTCTGAAGCTTTCAGAAATTAGCCAGTTATTTGTAAAATGGTATCTTTGCTTACTATGTTTTGGTTGTATTTAACAGTAGACTATGGATGATAGCAAATGAAAGCAAGAGTTTCTCAGCTGTGAAAGAAATTGACAAGGTGGTAACTGTTCCTTAGCACTTTGGTTGGTTAGATACGTTAACTCTTGGAACAAATGAGTAGCAGTGGACTTGGCCCCTTCATGTCTCACACATACGATACGCACTGGTAGAAAGCACAGAAGACATCCTGCAGGAGTTTCTTTGTGCATTTCACTACTGTCCTAGGGCACTGCTGTCTCTACTGGTCATTTTAGGTGTCTGGATCTTGCACAAGTCCCTTTTAGTTTCAAATGCGGAGTCCAAGGAACTGACTATTTAGTTTTACATTTTTTTTTTTCATTTCAAAGTTAGGACAGGAGACGGCTAACCTGACTTCCGTTTTATAAATATTACCAACTGTTTTTCTTCAGTAACAAATAGGAAAGGAAGATAAAACCACAGACTATTTTGCATATATACATATTTGTGTGTATATATACACAATATATTTTATTATAATTGTTTTTGAAATCATCTTATTAGAAATTTGTCTTAAGTATTGACTCATACAGCTCAGATTTTTAATTACCTGTTGGCTTTAATGAAAATTTAACAGTCTTACTCAGAATAAACTGATTAATCAGATGGAATTATGCTTCATGTACTTAACTGACTTAAGTGAAATCATCTTATGTAAGATTGTCCTTCATCTGACCACCAAAATAAGGGCCTGCAGTTTAGTTTTGATGGGAAGGGGAATAAGAATAAATTTCTTTTTATGCCTTGCCTATTTCCAAAACAAGATTTGAAGTGTCTTTAATGCTGTGGAGACTAGATAATGTTCATGGAAAATATATAGTCTTAAAACAATATTCTTGGGAGTAGGTTTTAGTCTGAAAAAGGTGAAGGTATTTATACTGAGTCATGTTAAATTATTTTATTAGGCATCTACAAAATCTGGCAGGAAAAATTGGTGAAATGATTTCTTTCACTCAAACATATGCTATTCCATTGAGAAAACTGGGACTTCAGAGTAAATGTGATAAGTAGGTTTATAAACTTTATTCAGTAATAATTTGTCTTACATGAAATGATTTAAAATTTAAGTTTTGCTTTAATTATGGCAGCATTTTATTACTTTACCTTCTGGGGCATTTTAATGTTTAGAGAAAGATTTTGTAAGTAAACCTTTGGAGTGATTCTGTCTATGCTAGTAATGAAATTCTTGGTGCTTGTTTTGATTAATTGTCAAACATTTAGAAAGAGCAGAAAAGGAACCCCAAAACACTTGTTGGGTGCATCTTGTCTTTATAGGAATTGATACCTTGGAAGCGGTAATTATTATGTTTCTGGATTTATTACATTCTGACTGAATAGGAGCTTTCTGTTTCTGTCAGTGTTAAGAAAGAGTAAGGACTGATTTTCACTTACTGGATATCTATCACAAAAGACTTCCAGTGACTCATATTTAGGTATCAGGAGTTTAAATGTGTGCAGGATTGCTGCACTTCTAAAGTCCACACGAAATGCCAGCTGTACTCTCCTCTGAGAAAACGAACAAAGTCCTATGTCTTAACAGTTACGCTCTTTTTGAAAGCTCTTTTGCTGTAAATATAAATAACACCATTTGAGAAATGAAAAACCTTTTATCTTACAAAATACACTTTGAATGATGGAAGGTTTCCTTTGTATTTTAAAACATTTTTATGGTTGATTGTTCAAATATTGGCTTTCTGTAAAAACATCGTGTTAAATTTAGATTGTTTATAGTGCAATAAATAAATTCTGCTGCTTGGGCAGTTTTAATTACTACCTTAACCTGGTTCTGCTACTGATACTTGTAGGTTTCAGGTTGCCCACATTTTGGTTGTATCTCTTTGGACCAATAAAAAATGACAAGTACGAAATAAAGGTATGTTTATATGTGATAGGAAGAAATAGAGTGTCTCTGCAGAAGTAACTGGTATGTATTCTCCATCTCAATGTATAGTTTAATTGTTGCTTTTTAAAAAAGCCAGATTATATAGTATGGGTTAATTAGCTTCATTAAAATTCAGTAATTGTTAAATTTGTATTAGAACTAGGTTTTCTGAGTAGAGTACTTGACAGTCCTAGGATCTCAAGGGTGAAAGGAATATATTCTCCACTGGAGACCTCAGCTATATACCAGTTTTATTTAAAATTGTAAGAACAGAGTAACCGAGGTGTTACACGCCTACTGTGAAAGGTACTTGGCTTTGATAATGAGACCTGCCAGCACTGCAGTAAGAGTCTCCTACAGACATCTCGTATGGCTGCGCGCCAGCCTTCTTTACAGTCGTGGATGACGCTGCCAGTGGGTGATTATATTCCTCCTTTCAGTAATTTTTTAAAAAGAAAAAAAGATGCAGATCCTTCAATAGATAACTCCCCATTCTTACCAAATTTGAAAAGGCATCTCAGCAGAAATTGGTGGTAAATGACGTTTCTTTGGCCGTTTTGACCAAATGCAGTTGGTCTTGTAGTCCCCTGCTTTGACTAGGGCTCTTGATATAAATATGAAATCTGTGATGTTTGACATTAAATGTTAAAAATATTACAGAAGGACAGTTCTATCCTTAATGAACACAGTTAAAGCACATAATAGAATTAGAAATATTTATTCAGAATATAAGAATGTTTGTAAAATATTATAAATGTCTCTGTATAAATAAATGGAGTTTTTTTTTTTAACAATTCTATATCAAATAACACCAAGCTATTTTACAGCAGCTAAAACTAAAGGCATCTGGAAATACTGAATGCATATAAGTGAAGAATCTAAAAACAAATTACAAGGTATAGTACAGTGTTAAGTGGCAACTTAAAAATGAGATTTTAATACAGACAGTAGAACAATACTGACAAATGCCAACTTAGTCACATGTGCTTCAATAACTGACAGTACATTCAGGTGGCTTAAAAATGGCACATTTTCAAATAGGAAACTAAAGTCTCATGCAAAGTAAATTAAGTCTTGACAATATATCTAAAAACTTATTAGGAATAGAAAAGAAGTGAACATGTTTCACCCTATTTGCACTGGGTTCAAAGAGAAGCAGATTATCAGGGGCACCCACTTGCTTGGCCGTCCTGATGGGAGCACTATAAGTGAATACTATGCGTTCTACAAACAGAACCTTTTCCACATGGATTAGATTTGCAAAAAAGTGCAAAGGTGAACTCTAGAGCCAGAATAACTAAGCAGGTCATTAGTGTCAGGGAATTTTGTCTCCAGCTTGCTCTGTCCTGCTGAGCTGACACTTGAGATGATGAGTGATTCTGTAGCTGCCTTGACTCCAGCAGAATCACACTCAGATGCCATATCTAGACAATCTAACCCTTCACCAACAATGTAACAGTTGTCTGTACGTGAGACTGTCTTTCTCTGCACAAGAATTAGCAAAACAGGAATGCGTGAACAGCTGCTATTCAACTTGTACCCTTTTCCACTTTAGTATTTTAACAGCCACTGAAGGCTCAGCGATGCTATGGAGGCTAAAGCCAGCATTATACTCACTGATAATTCTGGAGGCAGTTCTAAAAACTCGGTGCTTGGCAGCCTAAGGTATACGTACATCTATTAGTGAACTCAGATGTAGTTAGACAGTAACTTCAGAACGAGACAGGTTCAGAGCTAACTTCAGCCCAGCTTATCAGTCAGTGTGTGCAGCAAAGGCATAATTTGTGTTTGGTAGCTAGTGATGCGTCTACAAAGTAGTGCCCAGCAAGCCTCACTGAAAGGTAGTATCATTTCTCGTCAAATAGGCCATTTCATTGGAGAAATAGGAAAATAATTGCTGTGATTTTTTCATAATTTTTAGTGTTTTTACAAAACTGTCAATACAGGAAAAAAAAAGTTACACGAAAAAAAAAGTTACTGATGCTCCTTCCCACCCCCCTAAAAAGAAAACACAACCTTTACAATCCTATGTGATGTACCCTAATTAAATTCAGTTCAGAAATTTCATCAGAATTCTCCCCCCTTTGATCTCTAAAAACTAATTAAAGCTATTAGTTGCATCTAGAAATACGTGTAGCTGTAAACTTAGCACGATCTTTTCACTTTATATAGTTTGATGGATGGGATATACTCCCAGCTCTGCATTAGCAAATAGTTTAAAGCTTTGAGTTAAAATACTTGATAGAATTTAAAAAATAACTGCAGGATAGGGAACAATTCATGCCAGTGACATAGGCAGTCTGGCCCAGATGGGTAAACTGAAGCATTTTTTCATTTAAAATAATGTAATTTGTATACGGCTGGGAGCAACAAACTTTGCAGTAATTTCAGATTTTACTGTTCTCATCCTTAAAGAAAGCCTTACTGGCTCTAGTTGGGACTGCCTCCCTGGAGTAGGAGCACGTCCGGTTGTCTAAGGTCCCTGTGAAGTATCGCTGTAGGCGCAGAGGAAGACTTGGTAAGAAGTCTATGCATCATCTCAAAGGAGAATTAAGCAATTATGTTTAACTGGCACTTACTTTTTTATTATCCTAACATTCCAGTTTCAGGCAACGTGGATATTAACTTCAGGATCCCGAAGTGCCAACGTGAACATGAAACAGGTGAGTACCTGCATTGGCAACCAGGATACATCTAGCGCACGCGTGAGGTCGGGAGGGCACGATAAATCCTCGCTGTCTGATCACATAAGATACTTCTTCATAAATAACTTCCAGTGTTACTTTCAAGGGGGAATCTTACTGGGAATCTTACCGCCTACACGTCCGTGGCAGTTTGGTAGCTGGTGCTCTGCTCATGAGATTGGGCAGAACATCACATCCAGTTGGTGGGCCCACGTGTTGATGGCACTCCAGCTACAGACAGAAGTCTCTCTTATGTTGAGATTTTTGCCTCAGTTCCATAGTGGGAGATTATACTCCAAGGGAACTGTGAAATGGGTTCTCATGCTCATTTCTCTAGAAGCCAAAGATTGAACTCTGAACGGTGAAGGTAACTGCCTAAAAGGGGTAGCCACCTGGGGGAACGATTGAAACAGTTAACCTTGTACGAGTTATAATCAGGATCACTGTTTACCTCTGATGCAAGATGTTAATATAACCAGCTCCTATTTAGAAAGAACATTCAGGTTAGGAAAAAGGAAAATGATCCAGGCACCTGCAATCATTTATTTAACCGACGTGGTTTTAGTAAGCCCCGCGGTTAGCATAATAACCAAGTGCCTGTTGGTTCCCCTTCAGCAAGGACAGTTAGGGAATATGTGAAAAATACAATGAAAGGAAATGAACTGTATTGAATAGCTTTTATTCTACACATTTATGAAAGTAACAGTTTTGCCTGGGAAATAGTTTTCACCCAACCACCACCTATCTGAAAAAGTATTATGTTGAAGTATAAACTCAAAATGAGGCCAAGCAGGATCAGTAATACTAGGGTCCTAATGGAGGAGCCGAGCCCTCCCAGGTCTGGAGAAGTTCCATGACGCTAGGAGAGCGGCTTGTTTTCACTTGCAGCAAGAGGAAGAGGAGTAGACAGAGGTCAGCAGACAAGATTTTACTCCTGCGCCAGCTATGCTTTTCAGTGGGGGTGAAAATGAAAACTGTCCGATTGTTTTGATGCCTGTTCAGCCACACAAGAGAAGGCCATGAACGGATCCCTACTCTGCACAGCCTGGTTTGCTCGGGGAGGACGTTTTCCCTGGGAAAACTGATCTCATCTGTTAAACCTTTTTTTTTGCACACACTTTTCAGCCAAAATATTAAGTCTATTTTTACTCTTGGGATAAAGTCCAGTAGATTTATAACAGACAAGCCAGTGGGTACTTTGACAGTGATCAAAGCACGCGAAAGCCGGCCCTTTCACACTGATACCAGTTGAGTTTTGGGGGAGGGGGAGAAGATGGGGGCAGCCTCCCTGCTGGCCGGAGCAAAAAGGGTGGTTGCTTTGCGGATAGAACTGCTCTGCCTTCTAAGGTCGGGGCTAGAGTGCCCTTCCTGCCTCGGGTAGAAGGCTGAGGACAGATCTTTACCTCACGGACACGGGGACGTGAAAGTAGGGACCTGATCATAAGCCGAGATGTGACACTGGGCCCCGTTTCTCCTAGAGGACTTCGGGTGGTCTTCAGGTGCTACAGAATGAATGGTAAGTAGTCCTTTGAAATCTATCTGTCAAGGTAGAGCAATGACGTAAGAAGGGAAGAACAAAGTGAAAAGTGAAACAGGAAAGATTAAAAAAGGAATAATGAACTTAAGGTGGAAGACCTTCCTGAAAGAATTCAGGTACTTCGGTCCTGCCCAGTCCTGTCAGCACTGCTTGAGATGTCACCTGTTTAAGCACCATCTGCCAACCGTCCCCATGTCTCGGGGGGATAAAAAAAGGAGGCCTCAATGACCATTCCTTCGACCCCTGCCCTTTGTAACAGCAGGAGTGAAGTCGCAAACTGGTGCTGCAGGAGCAATCTTTTAAATAGGTGGGTTCAGCCTGCAAAACATGATCTAGTCAGCTCCTGCCTCTTGCCCTTAGACAGACAGAAGCAGGTCCACAGCTCACGTGGACGAGCTCTGATCCATGTAGCACAGTGGCTGTGTAGTGCCCTGGGGTGCAGGAGAGGGCTAATGCACCTCTGCTCTGGAAGAACCACCAGACGACAGTCTAGGTCCCTTACAGGTATCAACAGGATTCTCCCTGTGCCAAGCCTTGGCTCTTAAAAAGCTCCACCAGGGGAGGAGGAAATCCCAGTCAGAAGAGAGCTCCCTTCCCAGCCCTGCCTCCATGAGGAGAGGTGAGGAACTTCCATTCTCCTGTCCAGAGCTGTTCAGGCCCCACTGCTCTGCCTGTAGCTTCAGCGTTTCTGGGGCTATAGCTAACAGCCCTGAGTGACAGCCTGTATCTTGAGTTGACACGTGAGACCTGAAAAACCAAAGCCTGGTTCCACTAAACAAATGGGCAGTTCTGCTCGATGCTGAGCCTTGACCACCGCCCCCACCCCAGGTCAGGAAAGAGAAGCTGGGGATGCCAGTGAGAAGGTTGCTGCCCACCAAAAAGAGGGAAAAGGAATGAGAAATCTTTAAGAAAACATCTGCTGTGGATTATCCCACCGCAGCACCACCTCCAGAACAGAAGAGGGGGGAGAGTGACAGCCAGTGCTGAGAGCAGAAGCGAGGCCCGCGGAGCCCGGCGCACGTGGCCGTTCCCACGCTGTCCACCGCCGGGACGGGAGGAGCAGGGTCCGCTAGAGACAGTCCACGTGGTGTCCCTAGGGCCCCTCACCCCGGAGCTGAGTCCAGGGCACTCAGTTGTCCAAGTGCTGACCTACCTGCCAACCTTCCCTCTTCTCATTCTCCCAACAGGTCCTCTGACCTCAGTGCCCTGCTAGAGTTACGCTTCCACGGGCAGAACCTTGGAGCCTGAGTGCCGATTACAGTGACGTTTCATTGGTGTGTGGCCTTGAGTTCTCCTCCTCCAGGAGAGCGATTCTTTGCTTGAGCATCCTCACTTGGGTCTCGTGTCTCTCCACCATAGCCATCATCTGAGACTCCAACTTCTTTAGTTTGTTTTGATGCTTCTTCTTGGCTTTCTCGTAGGCAGCCACCAGGTTGCTATGTGGGAACAGAGGGAAGTGAGAATGAAGATTTCTCCTGAGTAGCACTGAGTACCCACTGCCCAGTCCACTGGGCAGCCTGGACCCGTAAGTACCACTCTGAAGAAACAGGTCACTCGGCCTCTTCAGGAAGAATTTGCAATCAGATAGTTTCAACATTCAGGGCCGTTCAGGTATTGACTTAACCGTGATTAATCCAGCCTGACTGCTAGAGGCTTGCCACCTGCAGGGTGGGAGGGGCTTACACCAGTCCTCCAGACTAGCTGCACCCAATAGACAAGCAGAAAAGCTGAACTCGAGGAGTCTACATGGAGACACGAACAGCGCGTCCGTGTGTGGTTCTGTGGCTGCAGTACGGGCAGGTCTGGCTGCAGGAGTCTGTGACCTCACCTTGGCTGAGGGCAGAGTGGCACTGACGGCTTCCCTCCGTGCTCTGGGCTGAGGGGACTCAGGGCACACGGGTCCTGAGCTAATGCTGCCTGCTGGACACAGGCCTCTGGGACCTGTCCCTCCTGGGGTGGGAAGAGGGCGGGGGCTGAGCCTAGAGCTAGGAAGTCCGGTCCCGGTCTGGTCCAGAACAGCACCCCAGGTCCCTTCCATGTACTGTCCGGTTCTCAAAGTGTGGTCTGAGAGGTGACCCCCAGGAGTCCCAAAACCCTCTCGGGGAGATCTGTGAGGTTCTTTATTTTTTAACTATAGAACTACCGGAAGCTAGGTTTACTGAATGTATTTCAAAACAGCATATTGATACATATTACTACCTGTTGAAGTGGACATGAGTCTAGCTGTCTTACATTAAGCCAGCCATTAGAGATTTGCAAAACTGTAAAAACAGTACCATTCTTCCAATTATTTTTGGAAAGTAATTTTTAAACATAAATGCCATTTGTATTACATGTAGTGAATTTTTTTAAGTGAATAAAAGCTTCAAAAATTTGTTTTAGTTTCTCAAATGAGATTTATCAATAGATAAATGATTTAAAAGAACACAACTCTTTGAAGTCCTCAATTTTTTATGAGTGTAAAGGGGTCATTTAGCCCAAAAAGTTTGAGGCTGCTGTCTTAGAGCACTCCTCCCTAAAGTGTTCCACTCAATCTGTGAATGTTGCTCAAATAGAAAGTTCTGCAGCCAATTTTGTTTGGAAAACACGGGCTTAAATTAAGCACAGTATGATTTCTCAGAACGTTTACTATATGAAGTGTAAAGAGGGGGCAGAGTCTGCTGCCTTCCCAGACACACTTTACCTAAGCACTCGTCCTTACCGAGCCTTCCTTAGGTTTCTGTGGATGCTGGGAGATGCCCTAGGGGAGAGCAGGCTCTGAGGGAGGCAGATGAGGACCCACCATTCTCTACAGCTGGCCCTCAGCATTCATGGGAACGCTCTCCCTGGTGTGAGCCCGAGAACCAGGGGGGATTACAAACAGAAGGATCTTACCTGTTGGCGCGCTTTAGGTCATTGACGAACTCTGCTGATTGCTGGTGTCGGATTTCACTGCTCTTGGTGAGTCTTTCCAAGGCACTCACCAGCTCTTGAACTCTGGCCTTTAACTTCTTTTCTCTGTATCAAAGAGAGAGGAAGCGTGCTGTGAGCAACCTGAGCTGATGGTGGAGATGGCTCCTGCCTGCGACGTGGTAGCAGAGGAGGGAGGTCTGGCTGGCCAAGTTCAAAGGCAGGAGGACAGAGGGAAGAGACTGGAGGGCACAAGGGCTGCCCCCGTAGCGCCCAAGCCCCTCACCGCCGCATGCCTGAGGCCCCTGGAGCCTGCTTCCTTTAGTGGTAACGGCTCTAGAGAGCTAAGTGTGCGTTGCAAAGGAACAAGACAGGAAGTTGTAGTCTTCCAGGTAATGTTGAAGTTTCAAATGCTCAGCAAGCAGAGTGTAGCCTGACAGCAAAACCCCGTCCCAGCCTCCAGGCCCTTTTCCAAGTGTGCCAGGCGTCTCCTGAACCACTCTGGGTGTCGAGAACAGAAACCTCTGGTCTAGGTAGGCACCTACCTGGGACAAGGGCCTGCTCAGTGAATAAACACAATCCTACTTTGCAAAATACAAAAGGGGGCAGTGGTAGGAGTTGAACTGGTTAAGGTCCTAATCACCTGTGAAGTACTTAAGTTAGACTAGCACTTTCATCCGACGCCCCCCTCTTCCCCTCTTGGCTTCAAGTTCCATTGGGTCTTCACTACTATGGCGACCCAAGCCACCTGAGCAGTCAGTACCAGAGGCTTCTGGTGTCCTGTCAGCTTACTGCCTTCCTCTCATTCCCACAAGAGCACAGGGCCAGGCAGGGGGAGGTCAGTGACCAGTCTTCTCCCTCCCGAGGTTCCATCACAGCAGTGTCACTCTGCACTGTCACATGAGGCACACTCGGTAGCCTGCCGAGACCTGCGAGACCCCCGGCAGGTAGGCGCCAAGGTGGCAAGGACTTTATTTGGTTTGTTCCTTAACATCCGCAGTGCCGAGCGCCACGCCTGAGGGACAGCTTCACAGTGACAACAGCTGTTAAAACAGCTCAGAACAACTCACTGAAGGTGATTCCTTAGAGCACACTGAGAAACCAGGATTTATGGAAAAAATTCCTCTAGAAACAACTCATGAGTGTGTGAGGAATGTAAATTAGCACAATCGTTCTGGAAGGCAACTTGGCAGTACAAAATAAAATACGAACACATCCTAAGCAACTTACCTTACCTTCTAGAAATCTTTCTTACAGAAACAGTATGAGTGGAGGTTCCTAAGTGTCCATGAGGTTACAGCGGGATTCACTTCAGCACTGGTTCTAACAGCTGAGAATGGGAAAAAGTCAGGGGACTGGTTCTATTGGTTCTATTGAGATGCCCTGTGCTGCTCAAAAAAAAAAAAAAATGCAGACTGACATGCACTGGCAAGGAAGGCTACCTGCTCTACTGTCATGTGCCAAGGGTGGGTTCTGTTGGTTGTCACATTTGCAAGAACAACCAAAGATGTGAACGCTCCACCCCCCTCCACAGTGCTGAACTCCCAGGAGGAGGAGGACAGGGGCTTTCATTTTCTACTTCGCTCACGTCTGCCTTGTCTGAAATGCATGTAATTATGTGTGCTTCTGTAGAGCGGGGCGGGGTCTCCGTTGTGCTTCCTGTAGGAAGGCTGCAGGGAGGTGACCTCGGGGAGGACTCACAGGTGCTCAGTGCTTCAGCCCTGGTTCTCCCCTCCTGGCTGTTCAAATATCGATTCTTTGACATTTCTGCCTCTAGCTACTCTAGGTGCAACTCCACAGCTTTCCACATTCATTCATGAAGGAAGGAAGAGCAACACAAAAATCCAGGCCTGCTTTTGTGGGTGGGAATGCTGGGGAAAGAGCTTTTTAAATGAGCATACCACCCAGTGACCCTCCCAACAGCCTTAAGGGGGCAGGAGTCTACTCACCGCAGGGCCTTCCAGCAGGTGTCCCCTGTTTGTCCAGGAATGTGCATTGCTGCTGGGCCCTAGCAGCCACCCAGACATCTCGTCAGATCAGGTGGCATTTCCTACTAGAACCTGAGAGTGGCACCATTTCCTACCACAAGTGAGAACAGCGCCTTGGGAGGGTGGCGCGCTCCCTCCCACCCAGCCCATCCTCAGCCTTCCAGCTCTGTCAGCCAAAGGAGAGTTAGAGGAGCATGAAAGGTGTTTTTCCCCTTCCCTCTGGCTAAAAATAATAGAGAAGGGTTATTTGTTCTACATTTTGTTACTGTTTTCTTTTACCTTTTATTCTAAAGTGGATGACTAGGGCAAAGGCAAAGAAGCAAATTAGGAAGAGAATTTTAAATCTAATCATTAACTCAAATACACAACATAAAACTGCCCAGAACAATACCACTTCCCCTGCTTACAACCACAGCCCTGCCCCAACCCGAAGCAGCAGAATGGAAACCCTAGCCCCCACAAAACAAAGGGCTTCCTTCCCCAGGCCCCCGGCCCCTGGGACTGGAGGGAACTTCCTGGACCTGGCAGGCCCCGAGGGAGGACAATGCAGCAACGAAGGGAGGCCCTCACAGACCCTGGCTAGGGTGACGGGAGATGGGGACAGGTCTGAGGGTGGGAAGCCACTGCAGGGAGCTGAGAACTGGCCCTAGAAGCCCCCTAGGCCTCAGGAAGGGAGATGGGGGTGAACTGCTCTCCAAATTCTGGGGTAGAACCGTGATGCTGATTTATTTAAAGATAAAGAGACAAGGCTAAACCTCAAACTTAAACCTAAAATGAGTGAGGCAGGCACCTACAGTGAAAGTCATGCCTCCAGCATCCCTCGTCTGAACCGAAACAAACACTAAACCTCCGCAAAGTAACAACTCTCAAGTCTCTGTCTCCCGCAGCACGCAGCCTCCGGGGTCAGGTACGTGTTCACAGTACTGGTCTCGGGGGTGTCCCTGGATTCTGATTCAGTAGGTCTGAGTTAAGACCCAGGAACTATAGGATGAAGAAGTGTTCCAGGTAATGAAAACAGTATGGTATTGGAAAAAAAAAAAACCCAAACCAAAAAACAGGTACATAATCAATGGAAACGAATAAAGAGCCCAGAAATAAACCCAAGCATATGTGGTCAGTTTATGACAAAGGAGCCAAGAATATACACTGGGGGAAGGACAGTCTCTGATACATGGGCTTAGGTGAACTGGACAGCCACATGCACGAGAAGGAAAGTGGGTCACTGTCTTACCCCATACACAAAATTTAACTCATAAAATGGATTAAAGTCTTGGTAAGACCTGAAACCATCAAACTCCCATAAGAAAACAGGCAGTAAGCAACTGGACATTGATCTCGGTCATGATTTTTCTCTTGAATCTGACAACAAATGCAAAGGCAACAAATGCAAAAACAGAAATGGGACTATAGCAAACTGAAATTCTTCTGCACATCCAAGGACAACATCAACAAAATGAAAGGGCAACCTGCTAACTAGGAGGAAATGCCTGCAAATTATGTGTCTAATAAGGGGTTAAAGTCCAAAATATACAAAGAATCTATACACCTCAATAGCAAAAAAAAAAAAAAAAATTAAAAATGCAAACATCTAAATAGACACTTCCCCAAAGAAGACTTACAGATGGACAACAAGCACATGAAAATACGCTTAACATCACTAATCATAAAGGAAATGCAAATCAAAACCACAGCGAGAGAGAATCACACCTGTCAGAATGGTTATTGTCAAAAACACAAGAAATAACAAGTACTGGTGAGGATGTGAAGAAAAGGGAACCCTCGTGCACTGTTAGTGGGAATGTAAACCGGTAACAGTTACTATGGAAAACAAAAGGGGGGGTCCTCAAAAAATAAAACTACTATACAATTCAGCAATTCCACCTCTAGGTAGTTATCTGAAGAAAATGGAATCTCCATCTCAAAAAGACACCTTCACCCCCACGTTCACTGCAGCATTATTCAGTAGCCAAGATACGGAAACAACCCAAGTGTCCATCAGTGGAAAAATGGATAAAGATACGGTAATATATACAATGGAATATTATTCAGCTATAAAAGTAATGAAGTGCCATTTGCAACAACCCAGATGGACTGTGAGGGCATTATGCTAAGTGAACTAAGTCAGAGCAAGACAAATACACATGGAATCTAAAAAACCAAAAAAGCAAAAAGCAAGCTCATAGATACAGAGACCAGACTGGTGTTTACCAGAGGTAGGGGTGGGGTGGGTGAGTTGGGGTCAAAGGTACAAACTTCCAGTTATAAAATCAATCCTGGGGATGTAATGTACAGCATGCTGACTCTAGTTAATATTACTATATTGCATATTTGAAAGTTGCTAAGAAAGGAGATCTTAAAAGTTCTCAAAAAATTTTTTTGTGAAGTACTGATGGTGACACGTTTAACTTGACTTACTGTGGCAGTGATTTCTCTAATATATACAACTATTGAATCATGTTGTATACCTAAAACTAATGCAATGTTGTATGTCCATTACATTTCAAGTAAAAAGACTGCCCCAGGTGATTCTTACTATTGTGCAAATGTGGGAAACTGGTAAAGCAGCAGCGCTCTGCCTGGGTGTGTGAATGTGCTTCATGTGGCCTTCAGCTCTGAATTTTTATGTTACACGCACAGACATACTCTTCTCAAGTCTCCAGCTTTCCTCACATTCCCAAAAGATAACTTAGAAACTCTAAGAACTATAAACCTGCTAATCCAAGCTATTTTGGAACCTCTACCATCCATGCATGTCCTGTTCTGTCTAGTTTCTAATTCAAATTTGCTGGGGCATCAGTTAAAAAAGAATGTATATGTTCTGTCTAGGTAATGAGGCTAAAAGGAACACTTTCATAGGCTCCACACAGATGAGAAAGTACAGATTCAACACTACATGTTCCATCTGTCCCCTATACAGCAGTGCATCCACAGAGCTTTCTGGGATGCCCAGAACGGTGGCCTCCCTCCCGTCTTTTTCCTCTCAGCAGCACAGGCCCTCACGAGCGCGCACCTGGAGCACAAGTCGGCAGACAATGCTGCTCTTGATACCGTTGCCATGAAAACCCAAACCCCACGCCCCAGCACACACCTGGCTTTCAGTTACAGATCTTCCCACTCCAC